CAAGAATTACTGGCTACGTGTGGGAGTGGAGACTGAACTCGAAAGAGAGGGGGAGAGGTATTTTGGGAAATTCAACAACGATGATATTTTCAGAAAGGTAGCTTTATCCTACTGCAAGATAGGATATGAAGATGAGTTGGTGCTTCCAGATGACCTTCGGAATTTGTGGATGGCAAGCTGCAATACGGTCGCTGATATTTCTATTTCTCTGAGAAATTTGACTCAATTGCAAACATATAAATTGAACAACTGCAAAGGGATAGAGTGTGTGGTCTCCTCGTCGTCATCTTCATCTTCTTCCTTGACAGCTATGAGTAACCTTCAAAAGTTATGTCTTTGGTTTTTGCCTAGCTTGCGGGACATTATGAAAGTAGAAAAAACAACAGCGTCGCTTGCACCGACAACATCCCCTCACATCTTTTCCAATCTTAAACACCTGAAGATAAGGCATTGTCCAAAATTGAAGAAGCTGTTTCCATGTGAGCTGCTGCAAGTTCAAGGCCTCCAAAACTTGGAGCAAATTATAGTCCACCATGGCAAAGGGATGGAGGAAATAATAGGATGGGAAGAAGAAGAGGTAGGAAATCAAACAACTACTCCAATATTGATCCCTCTTCCAAAATTAAGGATATTGGGGTTGAACTGGCTACCAAAATTGAAGAGAATCTACCCCAAAGGAGGAGTAATGGCTTGTGATTCTCTCAATTCCATTTATATAGGAGACTGCCCTAAGGTCAAGAGGATTCCCCTCTGTCTTGGAAGGGAAAACGGGCAACCATCTCTTGCTGCTATGAAAGAAATCTATATTTATAATCCAAAAGAATGGTGGGAATCGTTGGAGTGGGAGAATCCTGACGATGAGTATGTCCGCCTACCTTTCATCAAATATATTGGGTAAGTCTCATTACTCTCCATTTTTTCCATCACTTGCATTCCATTCCTTCTCTCTCACTAGTATTTCATAAATAAATGTTTCTATCTCTTGTTTCTGAATGAATCCAGTGTTGATCTCCGTTGATTTGCTTAATAATCTAATCTTGATTGATTTGCTCCTAAGATGTCTATCTCGCTAATACCATTTTTGATTACTCACACAGCAATGATGATCACCCTTGGGTACGCATTCAATATGGCTGTGACGACCTGTATCAATTAATTAGAAGTTTGTAATGCCCAGCCCAGCTCAGCTCAGGTATATATGTTTGTTGATTTGCTTCTAATGAGATGTTCATCTCCCTTAATTGGATGCTAATTCCTTTTTAAATTATTCATTCATAGCGAGCAAGCTTTCCTGAGTCATCCATTCAATATCAATCAGGTATATATTTTTATGTTTTCAAGAACATTTTTTCTTTTTTGCTTTCCTTTTGCTGACTATTATTTGCATCCTTAGAATTAAGTGATTTTTCCATACATGTTGATGCAGGCTGCATATCTACCATCTCATACCTATTTCTTCAACTTAGCAACATTTATACCAATGCAAGACAAAAACTGGGATTCACAAATCACACTCACATGAATGCAATGCCATCTCTTTTGTAATTTGCTGTTTAGTGTTGTGGATGAACTTCATTTAATTAAAGCTTTTTATTGTTTCTTTAAATAATTTGTTTTACTTTGTTGTAATAAGCTCTAAAACAGATTTAATTTATGTGACTGTTAACTATCACATTCAACATCTTAATTTCTTTAATCACATTATTTTTCCAATACCTACATATGCCATAGCAGACCAAAGGTATGTATGAATTTCTCTCCTATTTCATCTATCAATTTAGTTAAACACTCCCGTGGCTAACTTGACCACCTGAGGGCTTGAGGGTCCCTCTGTGACAGCCCTCCACTGCTGTCTTTCTCCTGCCTTCTAATTTTCTCCAGTCAAGACAATCATATTTGGAAATCAACTACTATTATTTTTCAAGTCAAAAAAATTACATGGCTTGAAATTGATTGTGCCTCCTTCCTTGCCAGCTGTCCCTACATTGGTAATTAGTCAATTCTGCTTTTCTTATCCAATATTAAGTGGTTTTAGAATCTATTTTGAAGGATTTCATATTGTCTTCAACTGATTTGGTGGTTTTTATTTGTTTATCCAAACATCAGGAACTATGTTTTGCCCTTATTAGGGATCCTATTGAACTTGAAGCCATCTGTGTTTGATGACAAGAGATATACATGTTGCAGTAGCCAACAGGGCTCAAAACTTTCTTTTATATTTAAATTGCTTCTCTGAAGCTGAGTCTTGGCCATCCAAGCAGCACCTCAGCATAGGGCCTAATGGAGGTTATGTGAATGGATATAAGAGTATAATTGGCTTATTCATGTTTCTAATACTCTGAGTATGACATAATTGTATCATTATCTTTCAACTGTTAAAGCACCTAGCTGTCCATCAACAGAGGAGCTGAAAAAAAGGACCTAGTTGTATCGTGGATAATTCATGATTATACTCTCTAAAACCTTCTTTTATCATGTAGGCCACTATGTTCTGCAACTTGCAGAACTATTAATCAATCTCAAAGGTTTTATTTGTATGTCTTCACCCATATTTATGTTGCAGCAATCAATGAAATTAGACTGTAGATCTTTATGTTTCTCATTTCAGGCGTACGTGAATTTGATGACATACAAGTTGTAGGTGGGTCATTTGGAAACATTCGAATATTTTTTTAACATTGTGCTGCTAGAATTACTTTTGGACACATTCTGTCTGCGATTCTATACCAGACCAGCTCTACCTCAAAGCCAAACGAGTGCGTGTGTGTGACTTCAAATTAGCTAGCTGGTTTGAAAGAGTACAGGAATGCTATGAACAAAGTCGTTAATTATGGTGTTGAGAGATTGACATTTATGCCCTGTCCCGCCCAGATGCCTCATTAGCAGCATCTCTTCAATGGCCATGGTGTTGAATTGCTTTGGAAGGTGATTCAACATATATATAGTAGCTTTAGAAATGAGTTCTCTAGGAATCAATTATGATTTTTATTTTTTGAAAACGAAGTATATAGTTTCGTTTTGTAGGTCAAATGTTATTATGGGTTACGAATGATGAGATTCATGAGAATCCATGGAGTTTGGACCCTTGTTACTCTGTACATGAAACAAATGTACAACAGGGAAAATGTTCAATCCCCTTATAGATGTCAGAGAAGGAAAGTGGAAGCCAACTGCAAGGCTGTAAGTAAGCGTCGTCAATCGAACTTTCATATAGTACTTGCTGTTCTTGTTCATTTTCTGTTCATAATTTGCATGTTTTTCTTTTCCAGTAATTACAATGTTTCTTCAATCCTTCATATGGATTCATATGTACATATTTAAACTTTTATGCTCCATTATTTTTTGCACTTATCTAATGCTTCCTTGCTTAAATTAGAGGCACCTTAGACAAATTAAATTATCACCTAGCATCATTTTTGCTGTGACCTAGCCAAGATAGAGGTTCAAATCAAGAGACTTAAGCTTCTTCAAGCTTGCATTAGGACTTAATTGGGAGACACATCCTGTCATTTTGTTTAGTTGCCATTACATAATGGATTGAACATTAAAAAATTGTTGATATCGTTTTTTGTTGTTGAATTAAAAGGCTTGAATGCTACCATTGAAAATAAAATCACTATTGTTTTGAAGTCATAAGATCCTTTTTACTGTTTCATCATGCTGGTGAGGACCAATTGACATGCATCAATACTAAGTGAAATTATAAGATGAGACAATTTACTTAAAACAAGTATATGCAGAAATTGAGGTTTAGGAGTTTGATTAAAAGTAAGGAAAGGTATTTGCATATCTCACAAACTTCTATGTGAAATATGATTACATATTTTAAAATTGAGGGTTTTAATTTACCTTTTTTATTTTTTAAGTCTTAAGTAACTTTCAAAAGGAAAATGATGAAATTGCAATTTTGAAAACGTTTGGACACAATTGAACAAAATAAGAAACAAGCCAACCCTCCATAATTGCAACAAATTAAAAGTTGAGGGATTGATTAAAGGAAATTCGAAAACATGGAGGATGAATTTGAAATAATTGAACGTTTCGGGACCAAATTGCTTGATCACAGAAAGTTTTAGGCAAAATTGAAATGTGAGGTGAAAAGCAGTTGCCTTTCAAACCTTTGACTATGACTAAACGAGATTAAGAAGATTAAACTAATTAATCAAAATAATTTATTTAATTGAATAATTAATCATGAATTAATTAAAATTAACTAAAATAATTAATTACTTTTATTTAATAAAAGTTTATTTTGATAAAAGAAACATCCCAACATTTTAAACATTAAGATGTCTAATAATAATTATATGATAAATTTAATAAAAATAAAAACATATTATATTTCAAGTATTTAATGACCATCATGACATATAAAATGTTAAAACATTTTAATTTATTATTTTCTCATTAAAATAAATAAATGAATGAATTTCTTTACCTTAATTAAAACTAATTAATGTAATCAATTGGTTTTAATTAAAATTAATTAAATTAATTAATCACCCTTCTAATCAATTATTAAGATTTTATATTACAGTTTTTTTTTAAAAAAAAAACTTTTTATTGAGCCTATTACTTATTATTGAGCCAAACCACAAGCCTGTTGCAGTCTTAGTGGGCTAGGCCCAATTCCCTTTTTTGGGTTTTTCTTTTGTTAAGATATTTAATTTAATTTAAAAGGCCCTTGGGGCATGACCCATTTGATATCATTTTTTAGGCTTTTTTAGCCCATAACATATAAATTTATTAGGTCGGATCAACCCGACCCACAAACACAACTCTTATACCTAAACGGGTAAAAATAGATCAAAACCTAGATCGAAATTCGGAACTTAGGGTTTATAGTGCTCGTCCAAATTTTACCAGAAAAGACTTTAATGGTATGTTTGGAAACATGATTTTTATAGAGTGCACTTGAATTCGAATCTTTCAAATTCAATATCACTATTTATTTTTACAAAATAAATATATAATTGAATTTATCTCAAATACATGTAATTAGATTCATGTATTTCATTACTTTTAAAACTGTGTAACCCTGCTCACGAGATAGTCACCAAATCCTTCTCCTCACTACCTCTTCATTATACCTCTGCGCTCAAGTAGATCTTACTCGCACGACACGCGCCCGGGAGGCATACTTTTGGACATCAGACCGCCCTTCCTGTCATCATTTTTAAGTGCCTCGGTTCTCCGGGATAAATTTTTGGAGGTTTCAGTGCGGCTGTAAGTCGAGAAGGTTTTGAGAGCCAACCCATTTGAGTTGCTCGCACACCATTCTCTTGGCCATTCACATGACGATCAAGATTTGGAACTTCGGATGAATAGGTAAATTCAAGGAGTAACAAGATAATTTCTCAAAAAAAAGAAAAAAGGAAAAAATAGTCACCTCTTGTAATGCAACTAAAAATTAATCAACCAAATTAAGAAAAAATATATATAAAGTATTACCCAAGCGGTGAAAAAAAAAAGGGAAGGGCGAACCGTGAAAAAGAACTTAAAAGTCGTGCACACCACATACAGGGAGTAACATGATAAAAAATAGTCATATCTTGTAATGCAACTAAAAATTAATCAACCAAATTAAGTATAAAAAAAAAATCGAACCTTATGAATCAATAGTTCGGTCCCGAGTCTTAAGTGCTTGGGTAAGGTGGCCGGAGTTTCAAACTTCATTACTGTTGTGAACTCCATCAAAAATCAACCTGATGATCGCGCGTCTCATTTGAGGAGTGAAATGTTTACCTGATCTGAGAATCAATTGTAAACAATTAACTCATTAACTTTCTAATAATTATCCTTGTAAAAAAAAATTAAGTATAAAAAAAAACATAAAGTATTACCCAAGCGGTGAAAAAAAAAAGAGAAGGGCGAACCGTGAAAAAGTACTTAAAAAGTCATGCACACCGGCTAGGCGTTTACACACAAAATCGGCTAAGTACTTCTTTAGTGCGGTTAAAATTTAGTATACATCATGTAATGAGTAATGGATAATGAATAGTGATAATGAGTAATAGGTAGTGATTAATAGATAGTGAATAATGGATAATGAAAAATGAGTAATAAATGATAAATAATGGATTCGATAAATATAACTGTTTGGTTATACAATAGTTAACAGTTATTGTTTAATATTAAATGACTAACAAAGACATGTTTAAAAATAAATAAATATATTTTTTTAAATATTTTTATTTATTATTAAAATTATTAATTTTATAAAAATAATAATAAGAAAATAAATAAATAAAATTAATTATAATA